TTTCTCGAAGAAATGTTTATCTCTCTTTTTTTCTTTTTCCAATGACTAAAAGAAGTACAACAGACGGTAGCGACATCTGCTAGAAAAACGTAATACTAATTGAAGATTGTATGTTGCTGAATTAGTATATATATATTTTTTTTTTATATTTTATGAAATTTTTTATTATTATCTTTTTTTAAATAATTCACACATTCTCCAAATGTTTTAATAAGATTCATACCAAAGCTTCTCGCCAGTTGTGAAATTCAGTCAGTACCCTCATGTAGGTTCCGAATTTTCTAAATTTTAAACCAGTATTTAGAGACACGCATAATATTATTTGGAAAGTCAAAATTGCAAGTGGTTAATCGAAAATTATTTTTAAAACTTTAAATATAGGTTTCATTTTATGGCCGGAAATTCGCAATCAGTGTATCGTTACAATTTTTTTCTGTCATTTAAATCGATTTCAATAAATCTGGTTAACATAATAGTTCGTACCGCTATCACGAAAAATTCTTTCAGACGTTGATACCGATGGTCACTCGCATACCTAGTATTAAGGTTAATTTAATTTCCTCAAGTTAAACAACTGATGTTCGCGTACCAGCTGCGTGATTTAAAGAAATTTAATTCCCAAATATATTTAAACTTAGTAATTCATGGAAAGAACTGTAAGACGGTAAGTGTCGGTTTTGTTAAAATAAGGACAAACATAATAAAAAACTAAAAATCGTATTAAGACTTGATTTCTTTTGAAAAAACTTAAAGTTTTACTTTTTTTTCTGTATATTGTAATTCTGCAAAAAATAATTTCATTTAACAGAAAATTAGAGAATTTGTTATATTAATGTTCCTTAATGCTTTTTTTTTGCTTGTATTGTGTGCAAAAACCGGACCACCCTGAATTGCTCTTGATCTAACAATCGGATCTTCATTTGTTATTCATTTATAATTGCCGCTTATTTTATAATTGTATGATATAAATTTTAAATTCGTTTAGAATAGTTTTCGAGATACTGTGAAATACGCAGAAGGAAAAATTAACATTAAAGAGTCCAAATGTTGGATCGCTCACCTGACCAAACTATTGAGGTCAGAAATTCGAATACGTCGTAAAAAAGGTATGTTTATTCAGAGAAAGTAGGTTTTTGTGTCTCATTTTGTAACTTAAAATATCGTCTACTTCAATTAATTAGCATAATTAAGCAATTAAGATTGAGTCTTAGAACGTAAAACTTCGATCATTAGATCAAAAGTTACTTAAGGTGATCCGCTTATTTTTATTTTTTGCGCACGGTACACACCGAATATTTTCTTTCTTAGCATCAATTTAAGATTAACAACAAAACTACCCAAAATACTGAATATTTAGGAGAATTTCCTTTGATAGCTCTGACAAACTAACTAAAATGCTATGCAAATATCATTAAAAAGAATGCAAATATCTTTTATACATCGTTTTTTTATTTTTTTATTTACAAACAAAATTGTGAATTTTTATAGGTAGATACATTATATTCCATTCTTATTACATAACAAAAGACAAAATTATTAACACACTCATACTCATAAAATTCTGAATCGGATAAAATGTAGGGCTCTATTTGGTGGACTACATGGTTCAATCGGATAATATGTTAGGTCTGTAAAATCGGAATGTAATATGGAAGGGTTCGTACGGTCCTCAAAAATTTTAAAATGTAGTTTCAATATTAAAATAAAAAAGGTTTTTTTTTATTATTATCTTTTATCTTCAAATTCCGAAACGGAACCATGCCAAATGAAAACCATTACCAAACCCAAAGATTTCGTGACTAGATTTATTTGTTAGATATTAGCGTGGTGGTGAATACTTCTTCTTTAACAGCACTACAGCCCAGTACAGGCCAAGGCTTTCTCAATCTGCCTCTTTTTAGAGAGTTAGACTTGCAGCTAGATTTCTCCATCTATTTACTCGTAATACTTTTAGGACCTTCTCCACACAGTCCAACCATTTTGTTGCCGCTCTCCATATCTTCCCTGAATCCTTAATCTCTGAAAATGTTAGTTTTTAGATGGATCAGAATCTTCACTACGAAAAACATGTATCAGTACTAATTTACTAAGAAACATCTTATTATCTTACTCTTCCTATTTTAATTTTTTTTAAGGTTCTGTAAGACATATTTCTTTTTTTTAAGATTTCTTAGGGAATCTCTGATTCGTCAATGCGCATTAATGGAAAGTGGCCATCTCTGCTGAAGTTGATGATGCGATGGACACCGAATTTATAATGTCACTCCTCTATAATATTCCTCAGCTGTTTACTCAAGAACAAAGATTGAACTAAATACGTACTTTAATAGTCCAGATAGTTTAAAAAAAAATATAGCCTACGCATTAAAAAACAACAGAATACTTAATTCCCGAAATTTATTCCATCTCTATATTTAAAAAAAAAAAAAACTATTTTAACTTTGCAAACTGTTTGGTGTCACGATAAGCAATGCTTTCAAAATTACATCTGCTGCAATATGTTAAAAAATATTAGAGATATTTAAACTGGCCATCTCTCCTCTTTGGCCATTTAACTTAGACTTAACCCTATTATGAATATATGATTATGTCCATCTAACTTAATCCTACTATGAATATATGATTATGTCCATCTAACTTAGACTTATGCTATGAATATATGATTCATAGAATATATGATATGAATATATGAATATATTATATAACCCTACTATGAATATATGATTATGTCCACCTAACTTAGGCTTAACCCTACTATGAATATATGATTATGTGAACTCTATTTGTCAGGTTTTGATACGGTTACGGTCATTATTTTTTCCTCACTTCAAACAATTCAAATGTGTCCATTTATTTGGCTTCATTTTTGACAAACATTCTAAAAATGTATTTTAAGGGTGGTAATGATGGAACGCCTTGAATAGTGAGCAAAATAAAAATTAAGAGAAAGAAATCACGCAAAATAACTTTTGTTGTAATGAGCGAAGTTTCACGAACTACGCGTCAATCTTACTGGTCCAATGTATTTCGTTATTTAAAGTTACTCAGTTCAAAGTGGCGTAAAATTTTTAATAGCTTCTAGTTCAAAAAATTTTTGACTATTGTTAAAAAAAAAAAAAATATTAAACTTCATTTTTTTTAATGACTTTATCTTTGGATAAACAAATTTCATGATTGCGTGCAATTTTTTTTTTTTTGACTTATTTAAAAATCTTCTAGAGATACAGCAAAATACACTAGGAGTGAAATTAACATTAGGGGGCACGAAATCTCGGTCACTCTCCTGACTAAACTATTAGGACCATATGCTCCGGATTGCACTCCCTCCCCCCTCCCTCTATTGATGTCAAAAATTCAAATTCATTGAAAAATAAGATATCTTTACTGGATCAAAATACGCTTTCATGTGTCCCTTTCACGACACACAAAATTTAATTTAATTAATAATTAACACTAATTAATCGGTATATTTCAGGTCACCCCTTTCAGCCATTAGGTTAGCACTAAGTTCGTGAAAATCCAATCATTAGGAACAAAAGTTATTTAGGGTAATATCATTTTCATTATGTTCACTGTACAGTGCTCAAAATGAAAAACGCACCACTTTTGATCTAATGATCGGTTCTTTACGTTCTGGGACTCAATCCCAATAGTTCGAAGGGGTGATCTCAAATATGCTAATTAATTAGTGCAGATGACATTTTAAGTTACGAAATCACACACAAAAACATACTTTCGCTGAATAAACATACCTTTTTTCGACGGATTCGGATTTCTAACTCTCAAAGTATTGGGGGTAGCCGCAATTTGGGAAAAATGGTCCAAATAGTTTGGTCATGAGAGCGGTCCAAAGTTTGAACCCTTCAATGTTAATTTTACTTTTTGCGTATTTTTTCATATCTCTAAAAATTTTTAAGCAAACTGAAAATTTTTTTCACACAATTACAAAATCCATTCATCTAGAGATAATTCCGTGCAAAATATAACATTGAGTATAACTTTCAGCGATTATATTTTATTACTTTATTTAAGAATAGGCGGATAAATTTTGAATTATAAGGTAAGCAATTTTTCGCATCATTTTGAAGAATATAATTTCGCATGGCAAAATACAAAATAGGAGCGAAATCGGTCGAATAGTATCTGAGAAATCAAATTTTGAAAAAGTCGTATTTCTAAAATTCATTTTCTCGAGATCTTTCGGACTTTTTATGCTCAAATTTTATATTTTACCATGCAAAACAGCGTTCTTTAAAATTCTGTAAGAAATTGTATACCTTACAATTCCAGAACTTTTTCGACTATTATTAAATAAAATAATAAAAAATAATTAATGTATAGTAAAAGTTGTTTTTGTACGGAATTATCTTTGGCTAAATGAATTTTATAATGGCAGGAAGAAAAAAATTTTTAATTCGCTTAAATATTTTTCGAGATATGGCGAAATACGCAAAATGTAAAACTAACAATAGGGGTCCAAACTTTGCCCCGCTCTATTGGGACTATACTTCCTAGATTGCGGTTTGCCCCTTTAATTTGGTGGTCAAAAATTCGAATTCATCGAAAAGAATATATGTTTATTCAGAGAAAGCACCTTTTTGCGTCTGATTTCGCAAGTGCACTAATTAATTAGCATATTTGAGGTCAACTCTTTGAACCTTTAAAATTGAATCCTAGAACGTGAAGATCCGATCTTTAGATCAAAAGTTATTCAGGGTGGTCCGCTTATTTATTTATTTTTTTGTGCACTTTGCATTTAAATAGAGCTAGAATAGTGACATATAAATTTGGCCATAAATTCTTCAGATGTCTCACTTGCAAATTAAGCTTAAAGAGAAATTATACATTTTAACAATACAAAGACAACTTAACAATACATTCTTCAGTATACTTTAACAATAAAGAGACAACTTAACAAGACCTACTTTAACAATAAAAAGACAACTTAGCAATATATTCTTCAATATACTTTAACAATAAAAAGACAACTTAGCAATGCATTCTTCAATATACTTTAACAATAAAAAGACAACTTAACAAGACCTACTTTAACAATAAAAAAACAACTTAACAAGGTCTACTTGAACAATAAAAAGACATCAAAATTTTTAAGGTTGATAAAGTTTACAGAAAGGATATTGAGAATTGGTTTCAAGAAAAAACATTTCATTCTGAGGCAGATTTATAACAGGTTTCGTTGCAGGTTGGCCCATGAGAGCCGTCACAGAATTTAATTCTGTGCACATTCCTTTTTCGAATTTTTCGTAGTTTTCACACATAACACCTACGAAAAGGCATCTCTTTTCACATATTGATTCTATGTAATACTTTACACTTTTAAGATGCATACAGACAGTATGGAGAGCTTCTTTCAACTCTAAAACAAAATTTTAAAAAAGTCAATGTAAGCTTAAAATCCTATAAGCTGAAAGTGATATAAAGAAAGTGAAATCTCGAAATGCTTGTTTAGAAAATTGGTTACAGCTCGAAATGTGTGTTTACGAAAATGGACAAATCTCAAAATGCTTGTTTAGGAAAATGGTCACAGCTCGAAATGCGTGTTTACAAAAAAAGAACAAATCTCAAAATGCTTGTTTAGGAAAATGGTCACAGCTTGAAATAAGCATTTTCTCATTATGCCTGTGATGATTATACTTAGTGTTTAAATAAGAAAGAAAAAGAAATCAGGTAATTCCCCGTTTAGTTTTTAAATTTTATTTGAAAACTAAAATGGCGAATTTTTTGCTGTTTCCATTTTCGTAAACGCGCACTTCGAGCTATGTCTGGCTTTGAAAACTCACCGACGTAAAAAAATTTTGTAGCATGTGGTTTATAGGAATAAAATTCCGCATTCAGTGAGCTGGTAAAGTACGTTTAAACGTTAAATAAATATTAATTGAACTCAAGAATTTTTGGTTTTAACTGTTTTTTTATATTTTTTAGAATACGACATTTTTTCTACTTTTTTTATTTATTTTTTTCTTCAGAAGAGCGTCCTAAATTTGCGAAACGTGCAATGATGTTATATAGCCACCGATTATGAGACACAATTAAAAGCTTTTGCTTCTATGCTTCAAACATACATAAACAATTTGTTTCATAACTCATACGCCATTAATTTGCACTTTTAGAATCCTTGTTCCAAAAAAAATAGAAACATTGGTATTCAAATTAATATTTAAGCTACTGAAAAATTCAGAAACTTTTTTAATATCTAAAGAATTTTTATTGAAGAATGTAAAGCTCTGTTAGAGTAAACAGGGAGGAGGCGAAAAGAAATTATTAGGAACAACTTCATGTTTCCTCCAGCCAACAATGTTTCCATCTCTCCTTCCTCAACAGTGATTCTGAGTTTATAATTCTTTATGTATTTTTATATAGTTTAAATATATAAATTTGCAACCAACAAAATTTTTTCTTAATGTTTGACAAGAATTATAAAATTGTAAGTTAAGAGTGGCGATTACAAAACACCTTGCATATCCTCATTCATATATTACACTTGCTTACCTGAAGACATTGAAGAATTTGTTGGAACTGATTCGCAGCCAGGTTGAAACATTCCTCCATTTGGATAGAAATCTAAGTGACCAATAGGGTAGTAGTAACCAAGACCTATGTATTGAGAAAAATTTTCATCAATGTACCAGAAATTCGCACCATGGCTTTTTATGTATAAAAGTATGTAATAAATCCAAAAACAACTTTTAAGTAAAATAATGTTTCTATTTTCTTATCATCGTTATTAAAAAGATAGAGACCAACGAGTATATTCTCTATTCAACCGATATATTGCTTCCTATAGATAGAAACCCACGAGTATATTCTCTATTCAATCAATATATTGCTGCCTACAGATAGGGACCCACGAGTATATTCTCTATTCAACCGATATATTGCTTCCTATAGATAGAAACCCACGAGTATATTCTCTATTCAACCAATATATTGCTGCCTATAGATAGGGACCCACGAGTATATTCTCTATTCAACCAATATATTGCTGCCTTTGTAGAGACCCACGAGTATATTCTCTATTCAACCAATATATTGCTGCCTATGAAGAAACCCACGAGTATATTCTCTATTCAACTAATATATTGCTACCTATGTAGATATGCGTTTCATAAAACCTCTTATATACTTTCTAGGAAGAGTTAAGATTTAAGACTGAATTTTACTTGTAATGAAAATACAACGTATATCAGATTTAGATCTGGAGATCTGACTGGTTAGTGAATATTTTCAGAAATCAAAAAATCCTTGGCATGATGAGGTTTATAGGACTATGTGCTGTAGCTTATTAAAATGAAATAAAGATCAACTGAATCATTCATAAAGCTAAGGCTTTGCTCCAATAATTTCAGTCAATATTAAAATCAAAATATTGTATCTTATTTAAATTGAGTTGAATCATGATAACGATGCTGAATCGACAGACTTGAACCAGAGTCAAAATGTATTTAGCTTTATACCGAATGCTAATATTGGAAATTAGTAGTGTTGATTAGTACTAATAACGTATAATAGAACTGATTCATTGGAAGAGTTGCATATAAATGAAATAATAACCCTTTGGTGATTCAAATAATGATAATAAATAATTCGAATATAAAATCAAATGCTTCATTCAAATAGAGAATAGGATCTGCTATACGAATCACTATTTCAATAAGTTAATCGAATTCGTAATTTGAATCGAGCGATACAAACTAACCGAGTGAAATAAATGACTTGAATTGAATTATCAAAATCCATAAATACGAATGAGCGTCTCAAAAACGAATCACTTTGATGAATTCATGTTGAGAATGGAATGTCCTATTCGAATCACCAATTCAAAATATTAATCAAATCATAATTTGAATCAAGCGATGATTGATATAATCATCGCTTGATTCAAATTATGATTAAGCTCATAAATAAAAATTTAAGCTCGGTTAAATAAAAATTTATTTAACCGAGTGAAATAAATTTTTTGAATTGAATCACCAAAATCCATAAATACGAATGAGGGTCTCAAAAACGAATCACTTTGATGAATTCATGTTGAGAATGGAATGTCCTATTCGAATCACTAATTCAAAATATTAATCAAATCATAATTTAAATCAAGCGATGTAATTTAACCGAGTGAAATAAATTATTTAAATTGAATGACCGAAGTCCATAAATACGAATGCGCGTTTCAAAAACGAATCACTTTGATGATTTCATATAGAGAATGAAATGTCCTATTCGAATCACTAATTCAATTAGTTAATCAAATCATAACTTGAATCAAGCGATGTAATTTAACCGAGTGAAGTAAATTATTCGAATTGAATTACCAAAATTGACAAATACGAATGGCAGTCTCAAAAACGAATCAGCGAATCACTTCAATGATTTGAGTCGCCTATTTAGTACTTAATTCTAATTCACAGTTCTTGAAACACATTTCAATTTTTTATTCTTTTACTTTTCGTACCTTTTGGAAACGGTGAGTCGTCAGCTGTATGTATGACATCCACAAAATTGGCATCGCTTCGATCTAGTTTTAAATCTTCGGGAAAGGAATAAAATACATCACCAGCTGCATCTAAGGCTGAAATTAAGTAATGAAACATTTAGATATTTTTCTTTGTCTTCTTTTTTTTTTAAATAAACATTGCTGATGGAGGTGTCTTAACTTTTTGCTTACGGCACTCAGCACTGGGAAACCCATCGTTCTGGTCTAGCCGTAAGCAAAAGGTTAAGTCAAAATCAGTTCAGTTTCAAAAAAATTTAAAGAAAAGGGCGGTTGAAAATATCAGAATTTTTTCCTAAATTTTTATCTAGTATTATTAATTAAATAATATTTTTACTTACAGGGCAAAAGTTGATTTAATATATTTTAAAAATTTTTATCAGGTATTAGTGTGTGGCGCCAGGCATGGTGCGTAGTCGCCAAGGGAATCAACGGGATGACAAACACACGATCGGCAACCTTGTATCTTCCCCAGTATTTAAGAAGCTTCGAACTTTACTCAGTCTCTATCACACACTCATACTTAATTTTACTGTTCTGTGTATGACAAAGAGCTTTTGGTGATTTATTTGTCAATAATTCATTTTCGTTATATGTTGGAAGGAAGGGTATTTCATGTTATAACTGATCACAAACCTTTGACACACGCCTTTGCCCAAAGTTTTGAAAAGTGCTCTCCTAGACATTTACGACAACTAGAATTTGTATCACAGTTTACCTGTGACTTACGATATTTAGCAGGAGCAGAAAACTTAGTGGCAGACGCTTTGTCAAGGGTGGAAGAAATTGCTTTTCCTGACAAAATTGATTATGTGCAAGTTGCAGCAGGAATTGCAGGTATATTTAAAAAATCCAGGTGTTACTAATCTTAAATTTAAATTAATTGTTTTGACTAATTCTGATGTAAATTTGTATTTTGATGTCTCCCTACCTAGTGCTCGTTTGTATGTACCCATGAAATTTCGAAAAATAATTTTCGATTCTGTACATAATCTTGCACACATCAGTGCCCGATCTACTTTAAGACAGTTATGTAGTACATATGTTTGGCCCTCAATTCGAAAAGACATTGTTCAGTGGTGTCGCACTTGTTTAAGTTGCCAAAAGGCTAAAATACACCGACACGTAATATCACCATTGGGCAAAATTCCTGTGCCTAATGCTAGGTTCCAGCACGTGCATTTGGACCTGATTGGCCCTTTACCGGTGTGTAGTGGATATAAGTACTGTTTAACTTTAATTGATTGGTTTACACGATGGGCTGAGGTGGTAATTCTGCAAGATATCACGGCAAATACAGTAGCACGAGCAGTGATTTTTAATTGGGTTTCACGGTTTGGTGCTCCTGTTAGAATTTCAAATGATCAGGGAAGACAACTGGATTCCTTCACTTTCAAGAAATTAGCACAAATTCTGGGTGTTGAAATTATTCGTACAACTGCATACAATCCTAAGGCCAATGGGATGATTGAACGTGTTCATAGAACATTAAAAGCAGCCCTTATGTGTTATACCACAGATTCTTGACTTGATAATTTACCATTAGTTCTCCTGTGTTTGAGGACTGCTGTTCGGAAGGATTGGAACTTCTCTTCTGCTGAGTTAGTCTATGGGCAAACATTGAGAGTTCCCGGAGAGTTCTTTATTAACTCGGGAAAAGACATCTCGCAGTCTGAATTGATTTCTCAGTTGCGTAAAGCATTTAGTGAGGTCAAGCCTATAGCTTCTGTTTGGCATGACAAACGAGTCGTTTATGTGCCTAGAGATCTTCAGACTTGTACGCAAGTGTTCGTGCGACATGACGCCGTACGGAGACCATTACAACCTCCGTATGATGGTCCATATTCAGTTCTTAAGAGAAAATCTAAAATTTATCTTTTGCAGATCTCCACGAAGAAAAAGTGGATTTCCATTGACAGGTTGAAACCAGCGTATTTGCCATTGGACGAGCCCCATACTTTATTCCACGATGATTCTCCTTGCCAGTCTGACCTTTCTTCAACTACAACTACCGAGTCTCCTTTGGCAGAAAAGGTACCGGACCCAAAGAAGTACGTTACTCGGTATGGTAGAAGAGTTCGTTTCAGAATCTGACGACTATGAAACTCCGGTGGGGAGTGATGTGGCGCCAGGCATGGTGCGTAGGCGCCAAAAGAATCAACGGGATTACAAACACACGATCGGCAACCTTGGAACTGCCCCAGTATTTAAGAAGCTTCGAACTTTACTCAGTCTCTATCCCACACAGTCTTACTTAATTTTTATGTTTCTGTTTTTAGCTTGTTATGTTCAGTTGTTAAATAAATGTTTAAGTTTATTGTTGTCATAGTTGTCTTCAACTTAATATGAGAGGGTTCCTCCCCCTCAATTGGTGACCCTTGTGTTTATTATGTTTTTGGATACGCTATTATCCGTTGTTTTACAATTTGGAATAACTGCTTGAATTTGGTAATGTACAATTTCCTCTCTTATTTGGTCAACTGCTTTGCTTTGCACTACTTAAAATTTAAACTTAATGTATAGTAATATCTTTTTATTGTATAATGTTAGACTGAAATTTTTAAACATTATTGTAAGAGACTTTAATTAGTAGTTATTGAATTTGAATATACGAACTTTAAATGCTGTTGTATATATTTCTTAGTATAATATTTGTAGTT